CTCCGAGGAGGGCATGCTTGCTGTGCCCTTAGTCAAGGTTGATGGATCAAACAATATTTACAAAAGAGAGACTGAAGTTGCCCAAGAGCGTACTTTCAAAATCCCTGCAGAGTTCTTGTATCGTTTTTCTCATCAACTTCCAGCATGTGATTTAGAAGGTGGGAAATTGATTGGAGTATTTGGTGATATGCCACAGCAAGATCCTTCGTCCATCAACTCCTCAACCAGTCAGAGGCCTACATCATGCCCTTCATCAGTGGATTCGGTAGGTAATTCACTAAAAATGGAATGGACAACCAATGATTTTACTCCAAGTCAAGTATGGGCTGTCTATGATGGCTCTGACCAAATGCCTAGGCAGTATGCGCTGGTGAATAAAGTTTTTATGGCGGGAGCAGTTGAAGTGACTTTTTTGGAGCCTCATCCCAATCCTATGGATAATGAAGAGATTTCTTGGATTGAAGAGAATTTACCTGTTAGTTGTGGTATATTTAAACTAGGTTCCAGGATTGCTGTTATGCCTTTGAGTAATTTCTCTCATTTGGTGGATTGTGACCGAACTACCAAGAATCTGTTTTACAGAATTTATCCCAAGAAAGGTGAGATATGGGCGATGTACAAAAACTGGAATAGAAGATGGAAGCAACAGGACTTTAGAGACTATCATTGTCGAATAGTTGAAATAACTTCAGATTTCACAGAGCCTTCTGGCCTGAGCACTGCGAGCTTGGAAGAAGTTCCGGGATATAAAACTTTTTTCCAGAAGCAACTTTGTGATGGGTTTGCATTAAGCCGAGTAGTTTCAAGATCAGAGATGCTTAGCTTTTCACACCGAATTGAGGCATTTGTTGTCCCAGGAATTGAAGCCCATGGTATACCTGAATGTTTCTTGGCACCTAGAACCTGATTCATTGCCTCCACTTATTTCTAATTCCTAAGATGTATGCATAACTTGCAGTTGTTCCTCAATTTTGCTCATGATTATGGTGAGTTATACTCGTGACTTTCTAACGTTCTGTAAATAGTTTAAATGTTTACTGTACATCGGGTGGCTGCCCTTTACTCCATTAGACACAAATTGCTTTACTATGGTTCCAGAAATTTGCATGTTAAAGTCCTGTATAGTTATTGTTAATTGGATGTGGAAATTAAGGGTCTATGGCTCCAATTAATGTCATAAAATGGTTACTGTAGGGAATAATTTCAAGCCTTTAAAAATCCCACTAGCTCGAACCCCACTGTGATCATACACTAAAGTACGGTGGCGTCCAAAAGGGAAGAAGATAGAGCAAAAGAGTCGCCAACAAGTTTTTACGGAACTTATAAACCGTTCATAGGATGAAAGTTACACCCCTTAACGATCCAAGAGATCGCCAACTCCATAAGGTCATGAACCAAATAAGGGTTCGGGGATGAAGGTACAAATCCAACCTAAAAGAGATCGAACCTGCCCTAATAATAGGCCTCTACTTTATTCTGCTCGTATTCATGTGCGCTTTCTGATTAACATACAATCAATAGGATTAACCCTAAACCTGTTTAATCTATGTTGGTTGAATTTAATGCACAAATAAACTATTATTGGCGATCACTTGAAATTATAATCACAATTAACCTAACAAGATTATTAATTATCTTATCAAGCGTGATTACAAGTACCAAATTCCCTTTAAACATGCATAAAAGGTGATCAAGCAATAACAAATGAAATATATGCATATCAAGCAACATAATGAATATCAACATCATTAATAATAATATTACTGGTCATAATCATAATCATGTTAAAGCACAGCAAGATCCTAGACATGATACTAACAAGATTAATAACAAACCCTAGCATGTCACTAAACAATAAAAATCAAATCTTTAGCTCTAACATGATACTAACAATCATAAATATTAGGAAGAATATAGGAAGCATCGTACTTTTAATCATACTTGATATTAAAGTTACCCTAGACATGATACTATGAATCAAAATAACAATCTAAGCATGATTTCTACATCATAATATCAATAAAAACAATTAAAGTACTTACTTGGATGCCTCGTACCTCTTTCTAATAACAAAATACACACGTTAGTAACTTCAAGGAAAATAATAATCAAAACAAATTAAATTAAATAATTGAAATAGAGATTTGGGACCTGTAGACACCCATTTGTGTCTCCCCAAAACCAAACCCGGTGATGAGTGCCTTTCACGTCGAATCATAATCGAATGAAACGAAAGTGTGAAAAGGTCTAGTGTTGCGGAAAGTTTTATTTCTTTTCTTTTCTCTTCTCTCTGTTTTTTGAAAACTTTATTTTAAGAAAACAGCCATCCAGTTTGGTTGGTCCATGATATGGGTCAATAGTGGTGTAGTTGGATGGGCTTTCAAGACTTTCCAACGATATATTATAAGCCTAATTCGATGAATATTGAGGAATTTATGGCCAATTTACTAAACTGGGCCCGGTTTGAGTTTTAAGTACGGCCCAATGATCTAGGGAGGGCCTAATATGATTTATCATTCCTAATGTAATTAGGAATGGTTTTTGGTCTTCTAGAACATTCTAGAAGGTCTTATCATTCTTAATTCAATTAGGATTCTTTAGAGTTTTTAATTAGATCAAATAGCATTTTCGACTGAAATTATATTATTTTATCTTCCAGTACGGGAAAGTTATCAGATTTTCAAAAACGCGTTGAAATCCAGTTTGGCGTCCAACCCCAGGCCTTGGCGCCTGGAACCAGGATTGGCGCCAGACGCCAAGCCATTGGCGCCTGGCGCTAGCCACTGGTCCTGGCGCCAATGAGCCAGGGTTGGCGCCAAGTTGTTTTTGCGATCTTCAGACTCTGTTTTGATAAATTATCTTTTTTGGCTGATTTTCTTTATAAATATCGTATCAAAAACTCCTTTTTGAAGGACGGATTAACATCTATCATTCACCAATTCTCTTTATTCTTAGTCTTATCAACTATCTTCATCATTCACTAATTAGCATTCATCTACAGTCAAATTAATCTTTTCACTCATCTCTTTTCTTCAACTTTCATCATCATTCATTCATTCTTTCTTTTCTAATACTTTGCTTGTTTTACACAAAATTCCGCATTCACAAGATCTTGAAACACCTAGCCATAATTCGAAGTTGCTTCGCCCTAGACGTGAAAGGTTTTAATTTCTGAGGGTTTGGTCCCAAATCTCTCTTTCAATTATTTAATTTAATTGCTTTGTTTATTTATTTTCCTTGAAGTTACTAACGTGTGTATTTTGTAATTAGAAAGAGGTACGAGGCATCCAAGTAAGTAGTTTATTGATTTTATTGATTTTATGATGTAGACATCATGTGTTTATGTTATGATATTCCTAGTATCATGTCTAGGGTGTTTTTAATATTAAGCATGATTAAGAATATGATGCTTCCTATGTTCTTTCTAACATTTATGATTATGATTGATGATGATTATTTATTATGTTGCTTGATATGCATATTATTGTATATTGTTATTGCTTGATCACCTTTTTATTGCAGGTTAAAGGGAATTGGTATTTTGCAATCACGCTTAATAAGATAATTAATAATCTTGTTAGGTTAATTGTGATTATAATTCAAGTGATCGCCAATAATAGATTTTTTTTGTGCATTAATATTCAACAACATAGATTAAACAGGTTTAGGGTTTAATCTATTGATTGCATGTTATCAGAAAGCGCACATGAATACGATCAGAATAAAGTAGAGGCCTATTATTAGGGCAGGTTCAATCTCTTTTAGGTTGGATTTGTACCATCATCCCGAACCCTTATTTGGTTCATGACCTTATGGAGTTGACGATCTCTTGGATCGTTAAGGGGTGTAACCTTCACCTCGTGAACGGTTTACAAGTTCCTTAAAAACTTGTTGGCGACTCTTTTGCTCTATCTTCTTCCCTTTTGGACGCCACCGTACTTTAGTGTATGATCACAGTGGGGTTCAAGCTAGTGGGATTTTAAAGGCTTGAAAATATTCCCACAGTTTTTGGCGACTCCACTGGGGAGGATTTCTATTTTAATTCCTGAATTTGTTTCGGCAATGATTTAGAATGAGTGGATGAGACTCGAAAAGTTCTAAGTATTTCATGTGCGTAATTTTGATTAACATTATTGTCATATGCATAAAAAGTTCTCATTGGAAAGACCATCCGTAATGAGTCAAAAACATAGGATTTTACACGTAGGAAATTTGAGAAATGTCTTTCACAACTAGGACTGAAATAACACCGCGCGAAACTGGATGATTTTATCGAGCACAGAAAGCTGCTGAGGCATGTGGGAAGTAGCGTCAGGGGCCAGAGCTTGGCGCCAATTTTTAGCCGTAGCGCCAGACGCCAGTATTGGCGCCAGCGCTACAGTTAAAAGTTGGCGCCAGTCTCTGTTTGCTGGCGCCAATTTCCCCAATACCGAGCCAGAAATATGCGTTCTAATTTCGACCGGTTTTTCGTATTGTTTGCTCGATCCTACTTCCTGATTGAATTTTTTCTCATTTTTCTGAAACCCATATGTGTTCTACATATGGACATAACCTCTGGGAATTCATGCTCTATCTACCCGATTGAACGCTCCTGGCAACAAAGGGTACATCTGAGATGTTGAATTCACCAAACCATGGAAGTGAGTTTTTTCTAAAAACTGCGGTGTTCTATCCACACGCGTTAACCTTCACGGTTAGGCTTCTACGCGGTGCATCTGAACAATTAACCATGGACCCTATTTGACTAAACCATATCCCGAACTTTAGAGAACTAGCGCCATGGTTAGGTTTGCGAACTCATTGCATCATATTGTGCCTACTTGACTAATTGTGCATTATTTGTTGCGCATATATATTCTATGCTCCTCCTAACCGTTTGTTGATTTGTGTTGAGATTATAATTAATGACTTAAAGAACTTTGCCTAATTAATTAATTAATTAATTCGAGTCAATAAATTTTTTCTTCTTTTAATCGGAATTGACCTAGTACGACTTTAGGCATACCCAAGTTGACTAATAATATCGAAAACAGTCCCAGACCGAGGCTCCAATGTTGGTGCCAAAATCTGGGCTGTAGCGCCACTGTATGGTGTGTAGCGCCAGACATTTACTAAAAAGTCTGGCGCCAACCACCATATTGTGACGCCAGTCCTGTCGCTTGGCCGACAGTTCGGATTATTTGTCGAGTCATCACCTAATGTCTAATTATTCAGTTTCCTGTTTAATTCGGTTAATTCTGCTTAATTGAATCAATATTCGAGTTTAGGCACTAAGTCCCATGGTCTTACACAAGAGTCCAAGCATGTCACTTACACTCAATACACACACCATTACACATGTCTTGACCATGATTAAGGGAGTCTTGTGTGCGCGCGTTATTTTTTTCGTCATTTTTTTAGGGGGGTAAGTCGGATATTAATCCTCCAAAAAAATAATAGTACTTAAGTTCCCTAAACACATGTACATTATTGCTCCCTAAAAATATGCATACTTTTTCTTTTTTTAAAACAAAAGCCATAAAGTCAAACTGATTCGAGTCAAGTAATTAAAATGCAAACTGGCTTAATCTACAGCGCGTGGTCAAGAAAGGAAGGACGATTAATCAAAGATAACCTCTTCGTACAAGTCCAACTTTTTGACAAACCTATAGCTCGCAAGAGGAAAGCAAGAGTTATAATGGCAACTCAGGAAGAAGTTAACGATCTCAAAAACCAACTGGCTACTGTAACTGAGACACTAAAGCTTCTCGCACTTAAGATCGAGATCCCGCGAAGCAACAACAGATGGACCTCATGCAAGAAAGCCTAAGCAAGTTGTCCAGCGACTACAAGTTTCAAGAACTCACATCCCAAGGGTCTCGCTGGATAAGGATCTTCTTCCGCAGAAGTTCAGTGCCAACGACATCC